ATGTAGGACTTTAATTGTTGAACAAATCAACCATTAATAGCTTCTGTACCACTGGGATGTCTTGATCCAACATCGAGATTGTAAGCCCTACTTGTTGTATGAATTCTTAAATATGAGTTCTTTCTTATCTCTAGAATAACTTGGTCAGTTGATCAAAAATTTTGGGGTCAATAAGATTTAATAAGTTGCTTTGACTTATTAATCTATGCTAAAATTATTTGGAGGATTTTTTGCTCTCCAAGATCACCTCAATCAAATTTTTAGCCTTGTATTTTTATTTTTAATCCATTAGATTAATTGATAATAATTAAGCTAATTAATTTAAGCTCCATAGGGTCTTTATGTCTTATTATATTATTCTAGCCTCTTCACTGGAAGGCCAGTTTCACTGATTAAATATAAGAGACAGTTGAACCCTCATTAGCCATTCACAGTCTTCTCTAATTAAGGAACAAGTGATTTTGCTACCTTGGAACAATCAGGATACCTTGGCCATTTTACTTTAGTTACTGGGCAGGCAATGCCTGTAATAATTGTTATGCTAGAGGTGATATTTTTGGTACACTGGCAAGGTTTGAGTTTGCCGAGTTCTTTTTATTTATTTATTTTTTATATTGGATATTTTATTTATTTACATTTCAGATGTCATTCCCTTTTCCACATTTCCCCTCCCTAGAACTCCCTATCCCATCCTCCCTCCTCCTTCTTGCTTTTACTGAATTTTAATTACATGCAATTATTTAGTTCAGTTCTAGATTGAGGGACTAGCAATACAATAAATTCAAATAGTTAAGGAACAAGCAAGACAATAAACACAAATAGTCAAAGAACAGGCAAGGCAGTAAACAAAATTCTGTGAACACTCTGTGATTACTGTTTCTAAGATCTTATTAGTATGACCAAAACATCTGAGCCAACTTCCATGTACTAGCCCAAAGTCATTTTCCTGTCTGAAGCCTTGTTCTAGACTAAAATCGAGATTTCTGTCTGGGGCTCCATTTTCAGGTTGAAGCCATGTACTTTGGCTGCCAACTTGTTGCTGTTAAACACAAGCTTTAACAAGATGGACAGGAATAAAAGTATTCCCAGGGCAAAAAGGGCTAGCATGATCAAACTACAGATGCCATTTTGAAGCTTGACCAAAATAGAAATACTGACCATAAGCCATGGGTAATTTTATCAGCAGTATCTACCACATCAATGCTCAGCAGAGCAGCATTCTTGAAATTCATAAGCTCACTATGTAAAGTTAAAACATCCATAAAGGTGTTAGAATTATGGCAAATACACTGCAAGGATCTTTAAACTTTTTCCTAATTATAGTGACTACCACTGCAAATTGTAGAACTAACATGAATCCAATGGTATTGGCATGACACTCGAGATGGCTCCTTACCCTTAAATTCTGAAACTCCTTCTGATAATTTGAATAGGATGAAGAGCACCAATCTTTTCTTCCAAATAACTCTATTAAAAATGGAGTACATTACAAGGTCCCCTTCAAATACTGGAGGTCAGGCCTCTATCCCCGCCTTGGCAAGTTTAGAATTGCCACAGCCCTTCTATACTTAGAGAAGGAACAAGATGTCAGGAGCAGCCCTGCTTACACACTGAAGGCCTAAAATCAGCCATAGGCCTAAAATTTGCAATAGACCTGTCATACATGTATACTAATACCAAGTCTTGGGTCTCAGTGGAAAAACATTGAAACAGATGGCTATAAGCTAATGTAAACAGGCAGCTTTTGTGGAAATTTACAAGCCTGAGTAGTCATAGACCTTGTAAATAGGTAGCCTTGGCAGATAATACCAACTTAGATAAGGACAAGCGAGTCATAGGCAGAGTCATAGTGACTTGTCCCCTGAACCTTCACCCAGCCGATACCTGCTTCTGAAGATATCTGTATTCCCCCTGAATACCCACATTCCATTGTTATTCCCTTCTCCACATCCTGCATTTCTGTGTTTATAACCCCTGTGTGAATGAATTATGATTTGAGAAAAAATAAATTATAAAAAAAAGAAATAAAAAATGAACACACAAAAAATAAATAAATAAATAAAAAGAAAAAAAATGGAGTACAGTGCTCGACAAAGAATTTTTACCTGAGGAATATCTAATGACAGAGAAGCACCTAAAGAAATGTTCAACATCATCAGTCATCAGGTAAATGCAATTCAAAACAACCCTGAGATTCCACCTCAAACCTTTTTTCTTTTTTTAATTCTTCCTTAAAGTACTCCTGTGTTGGGTTAAGGGATTAATTTTAGGTAATTTAATTAGAGGGTTGTCTCCTATTGTCCTATAACTAACAATGGTTATCTGAGTTGTGATACCCTTGTGCTTGGAGAATCATTATTCTTGTTACTCATACTAACAGTAGCTCATCTATAAAATAATTGATTAACCGAATTAATAACAAGAATTTATTATGAATGGTCAGATTAATTGTTCTTTAATTTCAGCTTGAACACTTTCTTTACTGATGGCTGCTTTTAAGCCTACAATGGTTAAATTAAATACTAGTTTATTCGCTATTGAAGGTTTTTTCCATTCCTAAAGAGCTTTCCCTCTTTTGGCTATAGTTTAAATTTATGTTTATACTTTATGTTATTATAGTAAATTTGTAGTCGAACTGAAATTCATTTTTTGTGTAACCAGCTAACACCAAGCTCGCTAGGCTTTTCACCTGTACCTCAAAATCTTCCCACTATTTTGCTACCTAGACGGGTTGATTCATAAATTTGTTTTTAGGTAACTCATTTGGTTCAAGGTTTCTAGCTGCAATTCTTTTAGTTAGATTTTTTTCTAGTTAATTCACTATGCAAAAGGTACAAGCTCTTATCTTTGCTTATTTTTACTTTTAATTAATCTTTCATCTTTCCCTTGAGGTACTTATTCTAAGCTCCTAGTAAGGATCATTTCTTTCTCCAATATTTATTAGGTTAAATGTTTTGATTTATATAGTAATATTGTTATATTAATAGATGTTATGGCTAGAATTTTTTAAAAGTGTTCATTTGTTATGAACTCTTCTGGGTGTAGGCTCAGATGCTCTGCTACACTGTGCTTATTCCAAGGACAATTTTTAGTATGCTTAACTTGTTATGACTTATCTCCTCTCATAAATAGATTATTACAGTTTTATTTATGGCTAATAAACTTACTTTGAGGAGGGTGATAGGTGGTGTGTGTGTACTTCATTGTCCAATTCAATTATTCTATACTTAATTTACTACTAAATCCTTCTTTATCCTTGAGTTTGATAAAGGGTTTCATTGATGTTCTTTTAAAAGAAAACCTAGCCCTTTTTTTTCCCATCTCATTGGCCCCACTTTGTTCTGACATTTTCATGTTTGCTCCTGTGCTTACTTTAGTATCTTTTTAGGATTTGCTGAAGATGGTGGTATATAGGCTGAATTAGCAAGAGATGGTGAGGTAGAGCGGGGTTTATTGATTACAGATCAGGCTCCTCTAGATGGATATAAAGGATCGCCAAGCCCTTTGAGTTGTAAGCTGTCTCTAGTAGCTCTCTGGCAAATATTTTTGTATTTAATTATTTAAGTTTCGGGCTAAGCATAGTGGAATGTCTAATCCCAGTTTTGATCTTAGCTATCGTGTAGTATAAAATGATTAGTATTACTTTCATTGGTGAGTTTAGGTCCTAACAATGAATGTTCACATGTAAATAGGATTTTAATTCTATTTGTTTAATTTATAATCATCATGTTTTATGCCAAAAATAATTAGTTTGGGTTAACTGTATGACTGCAACCCCACAAGGTATAGCTAAGTCAAACTTTTGTTTATTGGTTAATATTTATCACTGCTGAGTCCCATAAGGGTGTGTCTAGGCAAGGTGTTTTAAGGTATTTTAATGGGTTTGATGCTCTCTCCTTAAATTTTGAGTAAATGTTTAAAGGATTTTAGACCAGTCTATGGATATTTGCATGTGTAATCTTACCTCTAATTAATTATAAGGCCAGGACCAAACCTTTGTGTTTTTGGCATTAACTATCCATCTAAGCATATTCAATGCTTTGCTTTACTGTTAAGCTACATTAACTTGATAATATGACATTATTATAAAGAATATGATTAAGTAAGGTTTAGCTGTGTGAAGTTTAGTTTTTATATAATTTTAATTAATGCTAAAATATGTCATATTTTTTGAACTACTAGAAAAGAATATATTCCTATGAAATTTAAGTTTTAATGTTTTTCATGTTGTGGGTGTTTGGTATCAAATTTGGGAAGGAAGAAGGAGGGTTTGTCAGTGAAATTTGAGTACAGAAAGAATGTGTGTCCTACAACCAATAAAATATAGTCTTTGGTTGGTTTGGTAGGTGGATTATACTTGACTGACTTGATAAGTTGCTCTTCATGCCTTGATGGCTATGCTCAGTCACAGCATCCTCAAAGTTAAAAATATCAAATGCATGGCAGCACATTTGGTTTACAAGACCAAAGTAATATTTATACTATCAGGGCATAAACTTCATTTTAGTGATTTGTCTTTAATGATTTCTGAGAATGGTTAGGATTAGCATAATGGAAGGGTAGCTAATGGAGACTAGCTGTCCATTGACAATAAATGGGTGTTCTACATGTTGACCTCCAACTGTGGTTAGCATAAGTATATTTGCCACTAGGATTCAGTATAAGGCTTATGTCATTGGATGGAAGATTATGCTGTGTTGTTTTGAAGTATGAAGAAAAGATGACTAAAGCATGGAATCTCTCCAGTAGAAACTTAATATAGTGGGGTATAAGCTGTCAATGAAGAAGCAAATGAGTGTTCCAACCTCTCACAATGCTATGACGTCACTGCAATTGGCTGCTTTATCCCTGATGTTTAGAAACCCACAATTTTTGGCAACCTCAATAGAAATGAAATATGTTGGCTCTATTAGAGCAATAATTGATACAACTGGCATATAAAGTTGGAATTGGGTGAGGTCTGAGTATTGTAAAATAACCAGAAACAATGACTCCCCTCATATAGATGAAAATATGTTTATTTCAAAAGTGTGACATATGAATATTATTTATGAGTAGTGAAAGAAAGAAAGAAAAACAAGGAAGAAAGAAAAAGAAACTACTAAATGAAGTCATAGCAGTCCTGGCATTTGTAAAAGTAATTAATATTTAGAGGTGTTTTGCAAAGGCTTTATGTTCATGCAAGTTTTGTGAACCATAGTGTCCTCAGTGATTGTATTGGGCATAGCTTCTCAATTCCATCCAAACATTCTAAACTGAACACATAATTTAGCTTGTAGAACACCGAGTATATATCTGGCATGAAATATTGCATGTCTTCAACACAGAGTGAATCTATGAGAACAATCTTCAATGAAGTCCCTACACTGTCTTATTTGAGAGGGAAGGCACCTGGACTGACAACAGGCTCTCACTGGAAGCAGCTGGCAGAGGCTCATCTCTCAGGAATCTCTGCTTCAGGCTTCATGAAACTAGTCTTTTTTCTTCTTTCCCATGTTAGCAGTCTTATGACAACAAAAGAGGCAACATTTTGTGATGATGAATACCACAGCTACCACACAGACCAATAGGAACCCAATCACATCCAGAGAGTGGTACTGGAACCAGCTAAGGTCATGCAGAGCTGGGCGAAGGTGCTTGGCTCCTTTGTTTCGCATGACATACTCGATCCAGAAGACAGCTCGGTCCAGGGGCTTCATTGGCTGGTCACGTTGGATTCTGGATAATCTCATGGCATTCTCTTTATAGCTGAAGTGACAAGATATATGAGTAAAATGAAAGAGATGCTAATTTGCCGACTTACCTAACATTTGTTTAGTTGGGATTAAGTCCTACAAGGAACTCAAAATAAATCACATAGACTTGCCACACAAGTGCTCTTTTATAAGGTGTCAGAGAGGAGAGTTGAGTGATAGGGAGGCCAATGAAACACATTTCTTTAGCACAGGCTTTTTCTGAACTTGGTGTGTAGCTGACACTGGTTTTGAAGTACTTAATGACCTGCATGCACTTCCAACTAATTAGCTGCTTAACAGTGGACACAGTTTCTCAGTTATATATGCTGGCTTTTTTTGACTCCATTTCCACAGAATATTTATTTTAAATTGGACTTTTATAGTTGAGCAATATTTATTGATAAGAGAAAGTTAGTAAGGGGCACTAATCTTTTGTGTGTATTTGTGTATATACCAAATGAAACACGTGATTTACGACCAAGAAAGGAAGTAGACACAGAATTCTCTTAATCTGTATAGGGTCATATGTCATGTTGGACATCGCCTTTGTAGTGTCAGTTTCTCCTATTCTCTTCTGCATGTTTCCTAATTCCTTTTTATAAGTAGACTCCTGTTTTCAAAACACTTGTTGAGTTATGATTCTGCCTTGCTCAAAAGTTTCGCCAGGATTCTCACCAGAATTAAAGAAATGCAATTTTGTTCCTGGACTAAGAGACTGTGTATGTAAGAACTAGCAGCACTTTTTCCTGTTATTTTGCCTCTGGATCTTATGATTAAGTACATTTTTGTACTGGCAAAACTTGAAACTACCGATAGTGCTCTCCAGGTATGGTAAGACTTTAATATTGTCTCTCACCTTTAGTATTATTTATGCAATATTGCATATCATCATAGAAGTAAAATAAAGTTTTACCAAAAGTTTTATAACTTCAGAAAATATTGGTAAATATTTACTTTTTCATTAAGATTAAGATTCATGATTACTTTATTATGTATTATTCTATTATATATTGAAGTAATTTCCTTGTTACCTATAAATATATATTTGTCATATTATTTATGTATATAGAATAGGTTCAGGCCAACCATGTCTCATTCATTGAAATATAACTTTAGAGTAACTTTATCATTTATAAGCACAACTTTCAGATATGTGAAACAACAAAGTTTTTCAAAATCATTCTTTTTTCAAACAGGATAGAAATCAATCTGATGATGATATGAATCTATCAATATTTTTAAAGAAATAGTTATTCACATATATATGAGTGAACATATTTTCTATCAGAACACTCAGCAGGCTGAAGCAGGCAGAGTCATATGAGTTCATGGCTGGTCCTGTTATTTTATTGTAAGAGTATCTTCCAAAAAAAAAAAGAAGACATCTATCTTAAAAAAACAACTTCAAATAAATAAGCAAGCAAGCACGCAAACAAGCAAACAGACTCACGAAGGGTCATTAATAACAGTCCGCAAGGCAGTGAGAAGTTCTGTAGCTGACAGTGTGTTGAAGTCCACTCTAACAGCTGCTCCCTTGGCTACCATGTGGTTAATATTATCAGGCTGATCCGCAAACAAGGGAATACCAACAATAGGAACACCATGATAGATTGCCTCATAGATACCGTTGGTCCCACCATGAGCTATGAAAGCTTTGGTTTTTGGATGACCTGCAGTGAGAAGAAGTTTTACATAATTATTGATCATAATATTAAAGAGAGGGGAAATATGAAGGCTCAGAAGGGGCTGTTCTCAAGTAAGTATATTATTACAGCCACAAACCTGTAGTGACATTTGCCTTACCAAGAAGGTCATTCTGTGGGATCCACTTGTAGAGCCGAGTGTTGGATCCTAAGGTGTCTGGTTTCTTACCATCAAATCTCCACAGAACCTGTTACACACAGACAATACCTTACTCAATTACAGAAATCTCAAGGCTTTGGTATATTTTGATTCTGGGGAATAGAGATTACTCAGTTTAACTTTATCCAGATGATGGAGAATGAAATTTATGAGAGGGGAAGTCTAAAATATCATGAGATGTTAAAAGGTTGAAATAAATAATACATTTTTTTTTGTACACGGTTTCATAATATCTTGAGGATGAAATTTAATTATACTAATTTTATATGTCTGATAATTAGTGACAAATTCGTGTATACACGAAATTTTAAGACAGTTAATATAATCATTATTGTCAAAACCATGGTCAATTAATAATAGTTTATGATTATGTATATTTCATATATAATGCAATATATAGGATAAATGTACACATCATATATTCTCAATATTACATCTTTTTAAGTCATAAGCACACTATTTTACCTATATTTTCATGTTCCTTAGGCTCTTTATTAAAATTGAGTTATTTTGACTTATAATATATCATATGGTATAATTTACTATTTCTAAACATAATTTCTTTATTACCAAGAATTAAGTTTCCTTTTTTTCAGATAAAATTGTTTAAGGACTGTCCATGGAAAAATGTGATCAGGGATATTGAAAACATGCTTTCTCTTGTTCTGAATACATTTCATGTTTAGTATCAAACTGAGTTCTAAAGTATAAAGAATCCTCACAAATTGGAATGTGAACTGCGAGACTTTCTGTATGCTTTCAGGTTAGTAAAATAAATCAACTCTATAACAGGAGAAATTGGTATCATGTAATAGAGTGAATTTAGCTTGCTAACACCCAAACATGCTACTTTTTGAAAGTCATTCAATAATACAGTTTATGGAGTGGGAGCTGCTAGATTCTTCCTATGTTATCCTTGTTTACACACGACTCCTTCTTACATTGCAATCTCTTTCACCATCCAGAAAAACAAGCTCGCTTGATGTGCTCGATACAGAATTGGTCCCGATGAGCTCATAATTTCATAATACTGGTCCCATTTCAGGGTAGGACCTTTTTTTCATCTGTTCTCTCATATATTTTCCTACATTAGTAATTAGGAAGAACATATTTTTCCTCTTTCTTTCATTTTCTCTATGTGAATGTTTTGCCTGCATGTAATTCTCTGCACTGTGAGTGTTCTACCGGGGATACGAAGAGTACATTAGATTCCCTGGCAGTTGAGTTGGAGACACTTGTGAGCTACTCTGTAAATCCTAGCAATCAAGCCCAGTTCCTCTGGAAGAGCAGCCTGTGCTCTTAATGCATCACTGAGGCATTGCTCCAGCCACAGCATAGTATTCCCCATTGTTGTATTTCCTCCTCCTGTTTCTCCTTCCTTCCAACCTTTCTTTTTTTTACTTATCTTTTTCTCTCACTTACTTTGAGACATTGACCCACAGAATAGCCCAGAAAAGCTTTGGAATAAACGTGAAGTGTAAACTGGTTGTAAATATGAAGAAAAAGACCTACCTCAGATCTCTAATCACCAACATGTCAAGTATGCACAACCATGCTGGATCTAAGTGTGATCATTCAGGTCATAATTTGAATCAGAAACAGACTAATATTCTATCCTCTGCAATTCATAGTTTTCTTTTTAATATGGTGTTAGAGATGCATAAGAAATGGCCAGTTACTTTACTTTTCACAAGAATTTTCTCTACTGTAATCCTATTAGTGTTCAACAGTCTTAGAATACATTTTTCCATCTCTTGGACACTTTATCTTACCTTCTGTGGAATCTGAGCAAGAGCAGAAGCAATTACATTGGCCCTTTCCTCTCTCATGTTTTTAACCATTGATCCCAGAGAAAACACCACCACACCATGTTCTCCAGAGCTCTGAACAAATTCTTCCATCTCCTACAAAAACAGTTGTGACATCAAAAATATATAGCTGCATGGGTAGCATTGTCTAAAGGACTGAGATGAACATTACCAGAGGAAATCATGAAATTATGGGAATTATTTGAGGAACACCAATGAGTGTTTTCAGTGCCTCAGTCTTCAGCATTCATGAGAGTGCATTTGTACTTTTAGTACATTTGACCAAAGTTACAAAGTTAGAGGAAAAAAAAGTATTATTAATAGAGAGGTCACTGAAATTTAGAGGATCACTAGGAGGTATTTTAAAAACAACTTGAGAAGGAGGCAGAAAGATTATAAGAGCCAAGGGGATGGATGACATCCCAGTGTCTACCAGGTTCAATAACAGTGATGCACGTATAAACTCACAGAGACTGTAGCAACATGTCTAAAACAGTCACACATTAAGTCAGATGAAGTCCAGCACTGAGATTAGAAAATGGTCATGGACTTCCACTTCTAACTAAGGAGTTATTTGCAACTGATATCTGAAAACAAAGGGCTAAATCAGTTCTCCCTAATAGAGAGTTACTGGGTAAATCACTCATACACTAGAGCAGGTCCCAAGCTCAGAATATTTAGCCAACAAAAAATAAATGCCTTGCTTTTTACCCTTAGTGTTCTTTCCCTCTGCTTTTGTTTGCTTGTGAGATTTTGGCTTCATTGCTTTTAAGTCCATTCCTTACATTTTCTTAATTGTGATTTCCTTGAGGGAAATGAGAGGGAGGAACAGTGACAGAGGAAATGGAAAGGAGAAAGGAAGGGAGGGAGGGAGAGCTGTTGATGCAAGATGAGATAGGCAGTCTAAGAAGAGGACCAGGAGGTACGCAGCACTTGGGATATAAATAAATAAGTTAATTTAATTTTTTTATTCTCACATTGAAAAGAGAGAAAATATCTGTAGTACATTTTAAATAAAGTAAAGGTGTTTCTACTGCCAAAAAGCAGAAAGAAAAAGAAAAGAAGACAAAAAAGAAAAGCAAACTCTATGACATTGGGAAAAACAAAATAGAAAAAACTATTAATGTACTGAATAATCCCAGTAGCCCTGGGAATAAATTAGGAATTGAAAAAGAGGAGTACTTTGTAGTAAAAGCTAATGAAGCACAAAGGAATATATCTAAATGAAGAGACAGTCTAAAGCGTTGGCCAATATTTGTAAATTGTTCAGAGAGTTTGTTAATTACAAAAAGAACCTGTCTAGCTCTTCCAGAGCCTGACATATACAGAGGTGGATGCTGGCAGCTAACCACTGAACTGATCATGGTGTCCCCAATGGAGGAGTTAGAGAGAAGAGTGAAGGAGTTGAAGGGGCTTGTGGCCCCATGAGGAGAGTGACATTATCAACCAACCAAAGCTCCCAGTGTATAAACAGCCAGCCTGGGAACACACATGGAGGGATCCATGGCTCCAGCTGTATGTGTAGTGGAGGATGGCCTTGTCAGGCATCAGTGGAAGAGAAGGTTCTTGGTCCCAAGAAAGGTGGATGCCCCAGTGTGGGGGAATTCGAGGGCAAGAGATATTTGGGTGGAGACACACCCTCATAAAAGCAGGGAGAGGGGAATGGGATAAAAGTTTTCGGGGGAGGGGGAGAATTGGAAAAGAGGATAACATTTGAAATGTAGATCAATAAATTATCCAACAAAAAAAAAAAAAGAAAAGAAAGAAAAGAAAAAAATCCCAGATAATGGAGTTGGCTATTGCAGTAGCGCATTTAAGAATTTTTGTCAACAACTTTATATTACCCATATTCCTGGGATTCCTTATAATCCTCAAGACAAAGGACTGGGGAAGGGGCCCTTGGACCTTTAAAAGAATATATTCAGAAAATAAAAAGGGGGGGTATATCCCTGTACACCACAAATTTATTTAAACCGTGATTTTTTTTATTTTAATTTTTTTAAAAATTTGGATGCCAAGGGATCTCTGCTGAGTGTCTATGGTACCCTCCAACTAGGCATACTTACGCCAATGTGAAAGGAAAAGATCCACTTACTGGCATAAGGCATGATCCCTATCAGGTATTAAGTATGGGAAAGAGGATGTGTTTGTGTTTTTTTCTGCAGGAAGTAAAAGGAGCATGGTGACTGCCAGAGTATTTGGTGAGCCATGCTAAGGCTGGGACAAAGAATGATGCTCACCTGTGAGCTTGCTGAGTGCCTTGATGATGGTGACTGGGAAGCTGTATGGACATATGTTCCAGACCCACCATTGCTTATCTATACCCTAGATGAGACAAGCAGGCTTGTCTCAAGTTTTTAGACCTTGTGGACAGAGAATCAAAAAGAGAAGTTGTAACGACTCTTGTATTTTTCTTAAAAGTGACCAGTTATTCAGACTCAATCATGAACTGGTGTAGAATCCAATATTGGAAATAACAGTCTTCATTTGGAAGGCTGTTCTAGACATTTTCAGAGACATATTTGAAAGTTAGCTGTAGTTCTCTATGATATTATGTCAGCAAGAGATAAAGTTGGGACAGGATCTGGATTCCAAACAAGTGTGAGTCCATGTGTTAATTAATGCTCTTTTAATTGTCAAGCTAAAATTACTTTTTTTCTTCTAGAATATTTATAATGTAAATATCTTTGACTGTACAGTTTTAATTGTGTAAGTGTGTTGAAATCTGGCATCTGTTAAGGAGGTCTACCAACCACCTTTTGTTTTATTGCCTGAGTATTACAGAACCTTGTTATTCCGAAAAAAGCTTGCAAGTACTGGAAGAAGTGATTCAGGCTTTAAGCAGAATCAAGAGGGTAGTGGACTTGATTATTGCTGGTATAACAGCTATAATTCATTAATTGCTATCGCCACTGCTTCTGCAATTGCTTTGACACAAGAAGTTAAGGCAGCTACTTTTGTTAATCATTTATCAAAAAATGTTACTAATGTGTTGAATATACAGGAAGTTTTAGACAGGCATATGGAACAATGGATTGATGCTCTTTATCCTATTCAAATTATTGGAAGGTTGTTCAGAGTTTAAGAGTAAGCATCCATCATGGTCGAGTGTCATGTCAAATACCATTGGAATTCTGTTACTTCTAAATTAAAAGGATAGTCATTATAATTAGCAAAAAGTTTAAAGACACTTGCAGGGTATGTGGCATAATTCTAACACCTTACTGCAGGTTTTAACTTTGCATAGTGAGCTTATGAATTTAAAGAATGCTGCTCCACTAATCGTTGATGCTACAGATGTTGTTGATAACATTACCTGTGGCAAGAAGTCAGCGTTCACATTTTAGTCAAGCTTCAAGTATGGCATATACAGCTTGAGCATGATAGTTCTTTTTGTCTTTGGAATTCTTTTATTCCTACCCATAGTGTGAAAACTTGTCTTTAACAACATAAACATGTTGGCAGCTAAAGAACATGGCTTGAAACTGAAAATGGACCCCCAGACAAAGCTATCAATTCAACAGACTGGAAATCAAAGGACTGGTAATATTCTGAACAGAACCTTACCAACCTAAGGCAGAAGTCCATTGCTTTTAATAGTGCACATTCCATGAAGGGTACAGAAGCCATTCTTGTCAGAACTACCTAAGACAGGCTCAGTCTTGTTTATGAAATAAAAAAGGGGGAGAGGCGGAGAGGTTTTGGGGTTGCTTGGCAAGAATCTGACATGGGTCAAGGAAAAGGAAATGGGCTTCAGGCAGGAATCTGACATTAGGTAGAAACAAAGAAGTAGGCTTCAAGAATCAAAATGACTTTGGGCTAGGACAAGGAAGCAGGCTCAGATATTTTTGTCATCCTGATAAGCCCTTAGAAATAGTGACCAAGGGAGTCATCACAGAACTTTGTCTAGTTTCTTGCTTATTCTTTGAGTATTTGTGTTTGTTGTCTTGCTTGTTCCTTGACTATTTGCCTCTATTGTATTGCTAGTTCATCAACCTAGAACTGACCTTAATACTTTCATGTAATTAAAATGGCATAAAAGCAAAAAGGAGGAGGGGGCATGGCATAGAAACATTCTTTGTGGCGACTGTAGGGAAAGAGGATGACATCTGAACTGTGAATAAATACAATATCCAATAAAAAAAAAAGAAAAAAGAAGATTTCAGGAAAAAAAAAACCTCTCTAACATAAAAAGAAAAAAGAATCCAATCAGTTCAGGCAAATGATCCAAAATAGTCTCAGATGGAAGTAGCCTCCAATTATCTGAAAAACTGTACATAATTTTAGCTATTAGAAAAATTCAATTCCATATATGTCAATATTCCTTCATAATCCAGTTATACTGAGTGTCAGTACAATTTAAATAATATTAAAATGCTCCTACAGATATTATGGAAATTGAATACTTATGCATTTATCCTTGTTGGAAACGTCAAATGATATCAATATAAAGACATAAATAATTTCCTTCCTATAAGTAACACTAGTATGATTAGTATGATATATACAGTTAACGTATGCCACCCTTTGGTAATATCTGAGGGAAATAGTTGCAAGGAAAAAAATCCACATAATAATGTTTAGTACATCGCTATTCACAGTGCCCCTAATATGGAATTAGCTTAGATATTCTTTAACTGATCGATGAGAAAAGGTATTGGTAAATATACAATATATAATAATGTTTTACCCAGATAGTAAAATTATTATTATTATATAATCTCGGGTAAACAGCTATTGTTTAGTGGACATGATGTTAAGTAGTAAGCCAGACACAGAAATATAAGTGTTGTTTTCTTTTTTATATGTGGAAACTACAAAGACAAAACCAAAATACCTGCAAAACCTAGTTGTAGAAATACTACAAGGTAGTGGAACATATAAAAGGGAGCAGTATGTGAAACACACACACATGAAGCTGTCTACCACCGCCTGCATGCTGTGCTATAACCTGCTTAGTTAAATCTGGAGTTCTTGGCATTTGTCTGTTTTCCTCTCTCTTCTTTTCATCTGCTAATCTAACCCTGTACACTGGCCAGGCAGTGAAACAACACAAGGATTTGAGGACATTACCTCTAATCTCTGTTGGATATTTCTTTAACTTGTCGATCTCTAATTATACAATACATAACATTTATTACACAATATACAATAGTTCATTGTCAGTATAATATTTTCAAGTAGAATATAATTTCTCTTTAATGAAGAAATTGATTCTTTGTTTCTTTAGCTGTTCAATACATCTCTGGCATTTATTATATGTTCTTGAAAAGAGGATAAATTATTTTTTATGAGTTACCTAAACATCCTTAAATCACTGACCACATTCTAAAGTGATTTGACACTTTATTTAACAGTAATGAGACCCAGAGATGTAAGGAAATATTATATATGTCAATTGTCAGAGAGCTCTAATTCACTTTTTATACCTCTCAGGAAACCAAACATCTGGAAAGAAACCAAACATCTGATGAAGAATTATTTCCATGAAAAAGGAAAAACTGTTCATCAAGGGAAACAATATATGGTTACCTTAGGCAGTGGTTTGGCTGGTTTGCAATGGAGTCCTCCAACAAAGTCAAAATTAGGCAAGAAAGGGTGAGGAAATTGCAAGTCCCAGAAGGTTCGAATGAGCCATATGTCTGCCTTCCCCATCATCTCAGTTAATGTAGTGGGTCTCCCTGCACCCCAAAAACATGTAAAATATACAATGGTTAAAGAAGTTTGTCTGAAATATAGCAGGTGATTTCTGTGATTTGAGATCATGTAGTCAAGCAATGTAAGATGTTTCAGTTATGATTTATGATAAAATCATATTAACATAAATATAAATTGCATGAAAATTCCATTGATTTGCAAAGTTATATCAATGAATTTGAAACATTTTGAGTCTTGATAAAAGCTTGAAAATGATTAGAAAAACAGCTCTCATAGAATATTTAGTCTACTTTATACATTTTCATAATTATTCTCTTGATTTCTGATTCCTGAAATACACCGTGATAATATGTAAGGTATGACTAAGTTGCCTTTATCACTGCTGTACTGTGTCTATTACAGGAGACAACTAGTAGTACTTAGTCGTATCCATCAAAGTTAAAGCTGGATATTTCCTTACATAGTTAACATTTAAACTCTTTCTACTATTAATTTAGGTAGTATTTTATTTAATGAAAAGATATTTTTAAAACAAATTAATAAAATGTACATTTCGTAGCAAGATTTAAGGCTTTAAGACAAGTTTTTACAGATCTGAGACATTTCAAATTCCAAGAAAAGCAAGTTGCCTTAACTGTTTCTGGTTCTAGTGATACTATCTAATTGTGAAAAACTTTACATGATATACTTGATAGATAGTTTAACTTTTAAGGGGATGTTTTGTTTCAGTGCTACACAGATAGTTAAGGTAGTAAATTATGAATCTGTAGTTTTCTCATTTTCAGTTATTAAAACACTCAATGAAACCTGGAGTTTCTTTCACTGAGAAAAACATAGAGTAGATCAAACGATTACCAAGTGAAATCTTCCCTGTCTCACTTTGCATAGCTACTAATTTCTGGCATGTTCTGATCAGTTACTCTACAGTATTTTCCTTGTTTTGAGGCTCTCTGCTTGTTTTCTGTTTTTACTTGATCAGCTCACAATGAACAATCTCAGTCTATGACTTTATATTCACCTTACACATTCTCATTCAAAGTAACATCAAGTCAGGATTTCCCAGTGACAATGAAAGGCCCAGTTTACCTAGAACATCACTGTAAAGCTGACTCCAGGACTTCTCATTAAATGTTTGGAACCAAAAGTCAAAATACAGCACCTGTAACATATTCTTCACCCTTTCCACAAATGTCATACGGTCACTTAATTCTGACAGAACCGTAGGCACATAGGAAGGGGGGAGTGGAAGCCCCCCGCTGTACTTCTCATATCTGTATCCAGGACAGAAGCGGAGACT